GTGTCGTATAAAGTGATATAAAAACTATTCTTATTACAAAAAATAAAATAAAAATCTTTGAAATTTACCATGTGATATATATTATATTAGTTCTGACAGATAAGGCTTCTCATTATCAATTATATGAATTGTAGGATCACTATGCTACACTTTTGGAAAATGTAGATATGCTTAATGAAGCTATATGTTCTGTCTATTTCTAGGAAAAAAGGCACTCTCAAAGATTAATAAGCCGAGGTTTTGGAAACGTGTGGCATTTAACCAATAGAGAAAATAGTATATTACCTTCAGTGTCAAAACTTTCATAACATCCTTTGCTGCTTTAGACTTGGAAGCTTCATCCTTTGCCAGAGACCAACTTTCTTCGATTCTTCTTCATGAATATTTTCGCTACTTGTTTGACATAGCTTTTCAAGACTCGCAGCCTATTAAGAATGTATGAAGATCAGTGGAGAAAAGAAGTGCATTGTAAAATCTTTCTCAGTTGGACACTCATGACAGGGGACGTACACAAAACAGTTTTTATTCTTTGATGTAATACAAGATGAAGCAAAGGCTTTTATATTTTCTGATGTAATAAAATCTACACATCAAAATGGGTTAAGGAAATGCCAAGTATCAACTCACTCACTGACCAAACTAAAATGATAGCTATGGCTATTTGAAGCGATAAGTAACTATCACCACTACTGCATTTTTTTGGACAGAAAACATTTTTGAGAAAAAGTTTTCCGCATTTAACATTTGGTATGAGCACGATAGAAAATGGAAAACAAAAATCAACAAAAACCATTTCAAGTTTATTTAGGCGGAAATTTTTTCCATGAAAATCCTTTAAACCATTGTCGCTTTAAACCATGGGAAAATGAGGTTTCACTTTTAATAATAGTATAGATATATATATATATATTAAAAAAACACCCACAAGAAAACAATATAAAAGTATAAGTGGCATTTTATCAAGCACCTAGGAGGCATAAATAACATATTTATAGTTTTCTTCTCTGCTGGAGACATCCCAACATAGAGATACATAGAGATACCTAAGCAAACACAGATACACAAACATACCCAAACTGATAATAAAAATTTTCTACTGAAATTCTTCAATTGCAGAACAGGTGTTTAATGTCAAATCTATACATAATAGGATTACCTTAAATATATTAAAAGCATTATCACCAAACTTAAAATCCAAAAATAAATAAATAAATAAATAAACACAACAAAACAGGCACATTAGCAACGAAAAAAAAGCCAAGAAATCAAAAGGCACAAGTTGAAACAGATGCGACTCATTAAAGGTAAAAACGGTTTTGAAAACCCTAGAAAAGTACTGATTCGAGCTTGAAGGAGCCATGAAGGAACAAGGTTGAAGAAACAGAGAAAGAGTTCGATCTAGGAATTACAAAATGATGAGAGCTCAGTACTTGAAGTACCAGAAAGCAAGAACACGAATGAATAGAGTCCTAATCCTAAATTGAGTGAATATGTGTATGGAAGAGAGAGAGACGGGGGGGAATCTGAACATACCTGAGATTTTTTCCAGACCGAAGAGAAGAGAAGAAGCAGTCTCGTCGTCAAACCGTTGATCCATCGAACCAGTTTCGAATCGTCGAGTATTGCTGTTGTCGAACCAATCTCGCTGAACCGTTGATCACGCCACCATCGATCGTTCCCCTTCGAAATCTCATGCCGCTGGAACACCAGTCTCCCTTTCGAACCCCCCTTCTCCCTTCTCTTCTAGGCTATTCGATTTACAACTTTCTATCTTCTTTTTACAACCCAAATAGAAGCCAAACAGTTTGTATATATTCTGATTAAAAAAAAAAATTCTAATATATTTTTGGTCATTGGCGCCACATCCTACTAGTCGATTGGTTCAGTAACCCTAGCAACCAAAGAGAAGAGAAGAGAAGAGATGAGATGATCACCCTAGCAATTTATTCGGCCTTCATCATCATCGGAGCCTTCATCATCATCGGATAGAGAGAGAGAGATTGAAAGCGTTGTGATATTCCATTCTGAAGGCAAAATAGTTATTTTGAAAAAAAATATTGGCGTCCCAAATTTCATTTTGGGTTTTTTTTTTTTTAATCATACAATTCACGACATGCATTGTGCGTCGTGAAAAAATAATATTTTTAACGGTAGGCGATGTGTGCATCGTAAAAAGTGTAATACTTTTAACGGTGGGCGTTGTGTGCGTCGTGAAAAGTATTCACTTTTTACGACTAGCATATGTGCGTCATGTATAATTAATGTATAAATGGCACGCCATATGCATGTCGTAGAGAGTTTTATTATTTACGGCGTACATTGCAAGCCGTAAAAAAATCAATGTTATTACCATTCACGGTTTACACAATAGACATGCTGTGGTTGAAAAAGTATATACGACGTGCAAAAAAAGAAAGTTATAAAAGTGAGAAACTACGGCGTGCATTTATTGTATGCCGTTGATGTAGTGGCGTAAAAAGTCAGTTTGTTGTAGTGTGCCCTTTCTAAACTTGTACCCAGACCTCTTACTTATCCATTATGTTGTTGTTGGGGCCTTGGCTTGTTTCATAGTTGCTAAGTTAGCTTTTTCCATTAAGGCTCGATCAAGCACATCCACATACGTAGGCAATTTCAAGACGCCAACTCTGTCAAACACTTTCAAAGTCAAGCCTCCTTCAAATTTCCATGCCTTTTTGTAATTGATATCCACCATGTGTGGAGCAAACCAGGCCCACTATAGAAAATCAGGGATTAAGGCTTTTAATTAATGGCATTTTATGAAACGCCACTTTTTCTAATAATAAATGACGTTTTTTAAATGTCGCAATTGTTATTAATCAAAACGGTCCCGTTTTATGAATAGATGACGCTTTGAAACGCCTCTAAATCCTATCTCTCCACAAACCCTATTTTGTCTCTTCAAACCTTTATTTTGAAAACCCACCGCCGTCTACAATATGAAGTTTAAATCTCTTACTCACTCCAATCTCTCACTCTCATGCTCTCTCTCGATTCTTCTTCAGAGCGATTGCAAATTCGAAGTTTCTCAGAGCCAACCTATCTGCATCCATATGGATTCAATCTCATAGTTTCTCAGAGCGATTGCAATTTTGAAGTTCGATTTTGAGCATCGCCGTCTACAATCTCAGAAAAACCAATCGAATCTTTCAAAATCTGTTTCAGCTCCATGAATTATCTCTGTGGATTTGGAAATCTTCATCTTCTTTGATTAGAGGTTAGTGCTTTCGGTCATCCTGTCTATCTGCAAACCCTATTTTGTCTCTCCAAACCCTTATTTTGAAAACCCACCGTCATTTACAATATGAAGCTCAAATCTATCACTCACTCAAATTCCCACTCTCTTGCTCTCTCTCTCTCTCTCTCTCTCTCTCTTTCTGGTCCATGGGTATAAGATGCAGGTATGTTCTGTGGAATCATTGTCGGTTGCTGAGGGTTTTAAATCGAATCAATATGAAGTTCTCTCTCTTGATTCTTCTTCAACTTGGTGATTCCTCTCAGAGTGATTGCGAGTTTGAAGTTCAATTTTGAGCATCGCCATCTACAATAACCAATCAAAACTTCAAAATCTGCTTCAACTTCGTGATTTATCTTAGTGGCGGTGTTCTGTTTGTGATTTATCTCTGTTGATTTGGAACTCTTCGTCTTCTTCGATCAGAGGTTAGTGCTTTCGGTCCTTTGTTTTACAATCTCGGAACTCTACAATCTCATTGGATGGAAAGACAGAATATTCATTGGATCTTGTGCTATATTCAGAGGTTAGAACTCTACAATTAGATGTTAGAACTCTACAACCTTTGTTTTTCAATTCTATATCATGTGCTATATTCATTGGATGGAAGGACTGAATATTATTGAATTATATTATATAACACTGCTTAATGTTCAAATTGTAAAAATTCCATGCCACTTCAATTTTCCTGTTCATATAAAACGTTGCCTCGACGTTGGACTCCCAGATGAATGCAACATGAGGTAGTAAAGAAATCTATGCTGAATTATAATTTATAAGAAAACGAAGCTACATATATATTCTTATTAGTGAGATTGAGAAAACAAAAGAAGCCCCAGAAGTTATGTGTATTAAGGGTGAGAATGCATGTAGGAATTAGTAAAAGTTGAGACGAGGGTTTGTTGTGTTGTGTGGTGAAGATACCTTGTATGTTGTGTCGAAGATCAGAAGTGGAATGAAACATTAGAGAGGTTGAGATAGAGTGCTTTTTTAATTTTGTTTATTTATTATTTGTAGATAAGGTGGACTTCAGATGGAGAAAGAGATTCATTTACGTGGACCTCGTTTTAAAAGTTTTTCTTGCATATATATTGTTTTAGAACTCTTCTTCTTTTTGGTTTGGTTGCTGGTAACTTCCTCCATATTCCTATGTCTGTAATTTGGTATTTAATTGGACAAATGTATGGCTTAGTAAATGTGGCCGTGTGTTCTTCTCTTATTCATGTTTTGGCTTTCCTAATTCAAAAGATGCTTACTTAATTTTCAGAAACTTGGTGGCATAATAGCTTTTCTGGATGAAGCTTGGTAAGTGTCATACTGCTGTAAGCATTGTCTATTTTATGTAAGGTAATGGCTTGAAAATAAATTCATCGCATTCACTATTAATTTATGATTTCATTTGATAGTTCTTGTGAGATACATGAGGCTTATTTTTGTGCTGTATGTTCCCAAGACAGGTCACCTATCAAACTGAATTTTTTCTGGACAAAAACAAAGATTATGTTATTGCTGAACATCAAGCACTCTTGAGTGCTTCCAAATGTTGTGTCGGGTTTGTTTTCAATTTCATCTGAGGAGTCCTCTAAACAATCAAAGTTCTCTTCAATAGGTTCATGGTTCAAGGTCTGATGATCTCTCTCTCTCTCTCTCTCTCTCTCTCTCTCTCTCAAATTATCTAGTTCTTTTGTACAACAGCTTGACTTACGAAATTCCTGTTGTACTTTTTGCAACAATAATTGCTTGAACTCTGAGTTTGACTGAGCCTCGTTATATTCATTGTGTGAAGCCCAATAATCTTCTTAAGCCAGCTATTTTTGAGAATAGCAATGTTCTCAAAAATAACCTTTAGATAGTCACTAAATAGCTATTTTGGGGGTAAGGAAGGGTAACTTTTACATGGTGTTGGAAACGAAGCTGGCCGCCTTCTTTTTTTCTTTCAAATTTTATTTGTTTTATGTGTCTCCTTCCAGGGAGTCAATGAGGCAATTAGGATTAGTTGTGCTGGATATCCTACAAGAAAACCTTTTTTGGAATTTGTAGATCGATTTGGCATGCTGGCACCTGAAGTTTTGGATGGGAGGTAATTTGATTTTTTTTTTTTTTATTTCTTGGTTACTTTTTATAATTATTCTTTTTTTTTTTTTTTTTTTTTTTTTTTTGGGTTAGTTTGATTTCTTGGTTACTTTTTATAATTAGGATCAGTTGTGTTGGATGTATTGATTCATCATGAATACATCTTTTTCATGTTTGGTTGTTTATCATACCTTTAAATCTGCCTCGAACTGTGATGGATGTTTATGATGCCAATGCTTCAATATAAAAAGGAATACTAGCTAGATTGATGATTGCTGATTCCCCTGATATCATTGATATGTTTGAAACATATCATTGTTATATTTATGATGTTCTTATATTTAGGTGCCGATAAAAAAAAAAAGTAATTAGGCACTATAATTCTCATTTGCATGAAAACCAAAGATATGAGTCTTAAAACATTTAGATATATTTGTTCATCCATACTAGATGGTTTTTGGTCTGTTTGGGAAAAGTAGAGCATCCATTTTTGGATTCGTATGTTGCCTTTTGACATCTTGTAATTAATATAAATTCAAATATTGGATTATAATTACTCTTTTTATTTTTTCCCAATACTCATACAGATTATTGCTAGTTTCTGATGAACTTTATTGTGTTTGCTTACATGACCTTGAATGGTAGTCACAGATATATGTAATTGCTTACATTAATTTTTACTTTTGCTGGTGTAAACTGTTAAACATGTGGCCTGTTTTTACTTCCTCGATGACTTTTGCTAAACAGACCATACTTATTACACTTATTTTTGCAGATTGGTAAGACAGGTGTTTATAAAGGCTGGTCAAATGGTAGAACTAATTTTCTAGGAATTTTGCACTAATTTGGAACATTTGCTCAAAATAAAATAAGGTAACCTCACTATGGACCTTAAAATCTTCAAATTTCATGGTCGATCATTATGATGCAGAGGACTACATTGTTGGATGTTCATGTAAAACCAGCTAAAATATGTATAGCATTTGATCCATGACTTTGGGTTCCTCATGTCCTAGTAAAAAATGCTTGGAAAATGTGGGTTTTGTTGCTTTGCTCTTTCTTTTTTAAACTTGTATGGTGGAATTTTATGCTTATGGGTATTTAGAAACTTTGATCTTTTTAATGAGTTGATTTGAAGAAGAGAATGATTAAGTGGTCTTGTATTCTTCAGAGTGTTCTGGGAATTATACTTGGAGGTGGAGCTAGGACTCGCAATTGCTCTCTTACAAAGAAGAAAGCAAAATCAGCTGTTCCTTTAGGAGCAAATTATCACCTGATTGACATTTTGGTCAACAATTGCCTGAACAGCAACATATCAAAGATCTATGTTCTTACACAATTCAATTCTGCATCTCTAAATCATCACCTTTCATGGGCATACGCAAGTAACATGGGTGGCTACAAGAATGAAGGTTTTGTTGAAGTTCTTGCTGCTTAGCAAAGCCCAGAGAACCCCTATTGGTTCCAGGTAGTATAAAATCTTAACTTTAAACCTTCCAGTCTTATACTGTGCAACAGCTTTTCATTTCTATGAGACAATATTTGTGGCTGTTCGAGGAGCACAATGTTCTAGAATTCTTAATTCTTGCTGGGGACCAGAATTTTGGCTCTAGTATCCCCTGATTAGTTTGTACTACTTCATTTGTATTATGTTAATTTGAAATCTGAATTTGATTACTTTTGAAATACACATAAGGGACTCTTTTTTTACTTGTCTTCTTCTTCCTTTTGACCAGCCTCTATGTCTCTGCATCTACTTCCTCTTTCATTTCAGGTATGCAAAACCCAATACTTATCATTCTATATATGTATATCTATTGTAATAATAGTAATTTTTACATATGGGTTTGTGTAATGCAGATGATATATTTGGGGGTTGATACTGCAAATAGGAACATCAATTTTGTCACTGAAATGTTCACTTCTGGGACTCTAAAACAGTAAGTACAAGATTAGGGGCTTTAAGCAGCAAATAAGAGTGAAAGATGCGACTGTAAAAGGAACTTACTGTCTACATACAAATAAATAAGGAAATTAATTGTTCCAATGAGTAATAGATAAAAATATTACGAATAATGAATGATAGAATGCTTCCAAGCTTACAAATTAATATATTTACAGATTCACTAAAAAAAAACATATCAAAGCACACAAATCATATATTTACAATGAGTGAACATTAATATTTTTCTTCTATGAACCAAACTTGTTGTCATTGAAGGGTGAAAAACATAAAAACAAAGGCAACTAAAAGCAAAAGAAAAACAAACAAATCCTAAATTTCTAGTGGAGTATTTCCTTGTTACTTTATTGGCCTGAAAGTTAATTGGAAACCTACAAGTTTTGGAATGAAAAAACCCCAATACACAACATTCTAATTTCGTTCATTCTAAATTAAGGACTGACATTATTATATAGTATACAAGCATAGAAGTATATATCATATAGATGAAAAGAAAACCAAACAATTTCACTATATATAATTATGGGTTTCCTGCAACAGCATAACACAACAAAGGAAAGCTTTTACCAATATATGACTCTGTTTTGAATTGAAACTTATAATCCTTTTGCAGTATAGGAATTTGGTTCAAGCTTCAAATATATAAAATAGCTTTATACATGATGCTGGAAAGTTATCTTTATGACCATTCAAATTAGAATCTCGATTCAGAACAATTCTATAGCAGCATAAGTTAAATAGATGAGGTGAATATAAATTGATTGTGAATTGGCCAGACCCAAGTTTTACATTCATTGTTAGATTCAGTAAATGCTTATATACTGAGAATTCATCATGGTTCAGTAGTTTGATTTTCTCCACACTTCTGCTGCTACTTGATATATAGAAGTAGGAAACCCCTTTCTCTGCTTGAAATATATTTTTCTGTGTAACCCAGATGAAATATATATATATATATGCATTTATGTGATGTTTGTTGTTTGAACCTATTCAGAACACAGTAACAATTTTTAGTAATATTCGTTCATATTTATAATGTGGATCTGAGCTTGGTTTTGGCTATAGATGATGGCTAGATTTGTTTCTTCAAGTTTTATTTTATTTTTTCTAAAAAAACAAAGAGTGGAATTTTTGTTTATGTAATAGTAATCTTGATTATGAAATATTTCATGAAGCTTCTTTGATCTGGCATAAACCCTTGTTCACTTTGATTTTCCTTTATACCATTCTACATATAGTTTGTTCCTAATCTTTAAAAAAAAATGTTCCATTTTAAATTTGTCATTGATTTATAGAACTTACGAATCGCTTTTTACTAGACATTCAAAACTGGTTATGAACATTTTAATAGGGTTCTTTTCTTTGGCACATGGACTCTATGTTTTGTTGCTCATTGATGCTTGATCTGTATAAAATGTCATCCAAGTACATTTGGTGCCAATCTGTTGGAAATTCATAGCTTTCTTATAAATTAACAGTTAATGATTGTTTTATGGTGTAGTTGTTTATACAGGGTTGTTAGATTTAAAATTATAGCCCTCTAATTGTTTGTTCTAAAGCCTGAATAAAGGTAACTTGGTACAAAAGATGTATTGATGTCTTTGGTTCATCAACACATCTTGATAGTCTCTGAATAATGAATTTTCTGTATGCAAACATTAGGATTCAAATTGATTGTTTCTTATAAATTAACAGTTAATGATTGTTTTATGGTGTAGTTGTTTATACAGGGTTGTTAGATTTAAAATTATAGCCCTCTAATTGTTTGTTCTAAAGCCTGAATAAAGGTAACTTGGTACAAAAGATGTATTGATGTCTTTGGTTCATCAACACGTCTTGATGGTCTCTGAATAATGAATTTTCGGTATGCAAACATTAGGATTCAAATTGATTGTTTACAAGCTCTGTCAAATCATATGGTTTAGACCATGAATTGGAAAACACGTGTCCATGTTCCACATATTTTCTACTAGCAGATGTGTTTGATAATTGAGGAATACTAGTTTCTTTTTGGTTTTTAGATCCTTTTAGATTTTTGACTATTACAAAGAGGTTTCTCATTGTTACTACCAACAACTAATGAGTAAAGCTAAAGTTTGTTTTGTTTACTAGTCACTTGGTATCTAAGCCATGTCCTTTGGACTAGAGCTTGAACTGTCCTAAACTACTCACATTATAAAGCTGTCTTTCTTTTACAACTTTTCAAATTTGTGTAGCTTATTCAAATCATATAATAACCATTTCAGTGCAAATTCAATCCAATCAACTGAGTTGGATTTTTTTCAAAGGGGTCCCAAGGGTAGTATCAACTCTTGCTCAAAGAACTGATACTTATTGATATGGCATTAGCAAGGTTTGCAAGGACTGGCTTGAGACAATCTGGAGGTGCCATTGGTAATTACACAAACGAGAGAGATTTCATCTATGAGAGTGTGTCGACAAACATGCGTTCCTCACATATTGTTGAAAATGTCACATCATGAGTATTTATGCTTTAACATTCTTGCTCAACTGGAATCAGATTTGTCATTCTTTATTGGAATATGAATTCATTTCAATATGTGGGTTATTCATTAGTATACAGAAAGCAAAAGCAGAGAGAGAGAGAGAGAGAGTATCATGCTGATTTGTGAAGTCACAATTATTATAAACTATTACTATCTGATAGAAGCACGTTAAAAAAAAATTTCTACCTTTTTTTTTGCAGTTTCTAAGCCTCAGAAATGACTGATTTATTTAAATGTTCTTCTAGGTACAAAACCTTCTTCAATAGATGTTGAGTTGTAATGTAAATCTTATGTTTTATAGCTATAACACTTCTACTATTATTGATTTATGCACTTTAACCTTCTTCTGTAACACTTCTACTATTATTGATTTATGCTATAACACTTCTACTATTATTGATTTATGCACTTTACCTAATTTGGCTTCCATGTTTTGATGCAGGCATCCAGACTAGTGAAGATTACATATTCTATGCTATATCAGCTGACTTTAATGAATTTAGTAACAAGGACAAGACATTAAATTAAATAAAAACTCATGGGGTTTGTCTTGATGTTTTTCCTATTATTTTTTGGGGAATGTTAAAACATGATTTGTGGATATGTTATTTTGTAGTTAATAGTGATTGTATATTAAATTGAATGGGAAAGTGAATTAATGTTGTATTTGCTACTTGACAGTTTTTCATATAATCAGCTTATCTTTTGACAAATGTTCATTTGAATGGGAATGGGAGTTACTGTTTCATATTAGTGCTATTTTTCAATTTTATTACAGGTATTTTTTAGTTCAACCACATAGAATTAGCATAATTTCAAAAAAAACAATTAAAAAAATAAAGATATAATCGTGTTTTTGAAAACGTCACTATAGCCAACGGTTATATTTTTAAAATTAAAAAAAAAGTATGACGACATTTTTGAAACGTCGCTTAAAGTTGTCACGACGTTAGTTTAACGTTATGTAACACATTTAGCGGCGTTTTTTTAAATGCCGCCTTTAACACTTTAACAACGTTTTTAAAGCGCCACAATATTATAGCGACGACTGAGTCTTTGGTGTTTGGTGCTAAGCGTCACAAAAAGAATTAATGGCATTTTTGGCACCTATAGCGGCGTTTTTTAAACACTGCTAAAAGATGAATTTCCTGTAGTGGCCAATTCAATAAACTTAGCTTCATACGTGGCTATTGACATCTTGCCCTGCTTGAGTTTTTGAAATTTAGAAACTTTACGGTCCCGGAAGCACTGAGGAAAATACTTATCGTTGAAGATTTCCTTAAATTGAAACCACGTTATGTTCCCATTTTCATTTCTGATTAGCAGCCACCATCTCCGGGCTTCGTCCTTTAAAGAATAGATTGCCAAGAGCACCTTCTAAGTCTTAGAGCAAGGAAATACTTCATGTAGTTTCTCCATTTCCCGTAACTATGTCTCTGCCTTTAATGATTCAATACCACCCAAGATAGTTGGCGGTTTCATCTTCATAAACTTCTGAGTTAGGTTGATGATATCATTGTTATTCGGCTCAATATGTACTGGAGAAGGCAGAGGGGGCAAAGGTTGTTGCCTCAAAGATTCTGTTAAAGTTGCAAGCATTTGTTCCATGCAGCTCATACGAATCTCAGAGGATTCAGTTGTACCATCACTTCTTGTATTTTCCATTTGCTATAGGTACACAATGACAATAATAAACAGAGGCAGAGGCAATAGTTCTTTTCACAAGGTTTACATTCAGTTCATTCTATTTTGAATTCACATGTTCTTATTGTCGGTTTCTTATCCATAGAATTCACACACACACTCACACATGCAGATATAATGTCCCTAATTCCTTCTAGAACATCCTAAAGCTTAGATGGACTCGTGTGTGCAGTATAACTCATGCTCTGCAAACACTCTATCACAACCCAAACCCGCCCTTATGAGTTTAGCATCGTAACCAACTAGTAATCCCGGGATTACCAAAGGCCTCTAAACAAATTAACAAAATATGGGAGCTAGCGGAAGCAAATATATTAAACATACGTAGTCCATTGAGTTGTGTCGACAAACATGGGGCATGAAGTTAAAACTTTATATACATAAACTTACATGTGACATCATGTAAACGTTCATCTTACATTGACATTACACATATAATAAGACAAAATAACTATTCACAAAACAATAAAAGTCTTAAACTTATAACTTGTTTTACCAAACTCAACCACTTGATTTTTTCCGAAACCTCTTCGGGAGGCACAAAGGTTGGTCGACAAAACTGATCTCCAGGCAATCATCACTGAGCCTGGTCACGTGCCTGATCACCTACATACATAAATAATAGAGTGAGAGAGAGCCCAGTGAATAATAACAAAGTAAAGATTTTAATGAATGATGTCCATAACAGATTCAGATTTCAATTCTCTTATCAAATTGGAAACATAGTCATATTCATAATCACGTTCAAATCATGTATGGTACATCCATTAGCATTAACATATCACTTTGGTTATGCATATCAAGTTCCATAATGGAACCTCCAGTACCGGGTAACATATCTCATACATGGGCCACGATATTGTCTCCCTCGGGTGAGGGCCTATGCCACGATATTATTTCCCTCGGGCGAGGGCCTGGGCTACAGCATTGTTTCCTTCAGGCGAGGGCCTCATGACCATAAGTCACAATATTATTTCCCTTGGACAAGGGCCTCTGCTAAAGATACCACAAAGACATTCAAATAATTGGATCATCATTCATGTAATCACAAAATAACCTTTTGTATTATTCAAAAGCAGTTCATATCATATCATAATGTTCAGAAAGTATTTCATATCGAACATAGCTTTACTAAGTCATTACTCACAGATAGCTTCAATGGTAGAACAAATGGATCAAACCGCTCATGGTGCGTGACCTACACAAACATATAATAGATACACTTATTGAAACACACACTTAGATAGTACTTAACTTATTCCATTTCGTTCTTAGTGTATTTTTAAGTCTTATCCTTATTATGGTGTCTTAATTAGAGCTTAAGAATGTCTAGGATGCAAAGAGGATGCCAAAATGTGATTCAAAACACTTAGTCAAATTTGCTGAAAACAGGATCTTCGCTCGAGCGCAACTTCCTTCGCTCGATCAGAGGTTCAAAATAAGGGTGGTCACTCGAACGCAACTTCGGTCGCTTGAGTGGTCTGTAAACTCTGCGCAAAAGTACTAGTTGCATGACATTTCTACTCGACGGTCGCTCGAGCGCAAGACTGAGCAAACAGGGTCCTCGCTCGAGCACAACTCTTGTAGCTCGAACGGCCTACAAAACTCGCAAAACTTTCTAGGAGAATGAATTTTACACTCAAGCCAACCTCTTCTTGCTCGAGCTAAGATGTAAAGCAAAAGGGGGTCGCTCGAGCGCAGGTTTGGTCACTCGAGCGATGCTGCAGAATTCTGGAATTTCCAAATTGCTCTCCAAGCTTCAAAACTCAAATTCAAACCAACAAAACACATCTTTTTGGGCCCAAAACTTGAGGAAACATATGCAAACTTGTAAAACATTGTAAATTCAAAATTGTTTTGCAAAATCAAAGCCCAAAAGCATGCCAATTATGCAAAATCAAACTTGAAACTCATGATACAAATATGCATGTAATTTCTTTGAACTTAAATTCTTCAAATCATGCTCAAACAAGGTAGATTGATAAAGAACATGACGAAGTCTCAAAATTAAGTTGAAAACATGAATGCATGGAAGAATTACTTGACATCAACTTCAAAATGTTATGGAAAATGCATGCATATATGCCTTGAGTCTTAATTCTCCAATCTTAGTTCAATTCTTGCATTAATCACCTTAGTTCTCTTGAATCTATGTGGTAAGTGACTCAATTACATCTAAAGGCTTGAATTCTTACCTTGAGGCCTTGAATTTCCAAGTGTCGAAGCCTAATCTTTCAAATTCTCTTCTATTTTTGAACAATTTCAACAGGTCTCTCATTTTCTCTATTGCTCTCACTCTCTCTCTTGATCTCTTGATCTCTCTCTCCCACGCTTGTGGCTTCAAGAATGGAGAAAATGAGAGTGCAAAGTGTATCCTAGAGGTTTCTTGTGCCTTATATAGGCTTGATTAAGAAGTTAATTAAGTTAGACTTACAACTAATCAATTGGCATTAATTATCCTAATTAATTCGTTCTGAATCAAATTCCAATTAATCCTGCCATAAATTTCTAAAAATCCTAAATAACACTTAAATGAAGTCAATTTCGTAACTGGGTGTCGATAAGGCCTTCAATTCGCAGAACAGAATAGAAACACAGACAGATATTTCTACAGCAGACAGATATAAACACAAATAACATATAATACATGCAATTAACACAGGATTTCCTCTTAATTACTTATTAGGCTTCCTTAATCATGGTCAAATAGTTAATCACAAGTCGGGGTTGTTACATTTTTCCTCGTAATTAACTTTTAATTCTTTAAATTTATGATAGAATATTGAAATTGAGATATATTTTGGTATGAGTCTCTTGAAATTGAAAGCTTTTGAGAATTTCTTTTGAAATATGAAGATTAAGTCTTCATAATTGTTCAATTATTTGAATGGGGAAATTTACCTTTGTTCACATGGATGTATAATTTCTTGGAATTTGTAGAAACATTGGAAAAGGTTGTTTTAAGGCGATAGATAGTCGATTTTGAAAAGAGTTGTATTGTGTTGGTACCCGCACGGGGAGTTAAGGAGCCCAATTGCCCTGTCTAGGCTTATCGCTGGACAAATGTGGGAAAATGTTTTTGGGTGTCTACTGGTCCTGCCGTATTGTAGTCGGCAAAAGTAGAAAAACGAATGATTTTGGGTGCCTACATCCTACTGTATAGCAATCGGCAAATGTAGGGGTATTTTGGATACAAAACTATATATGTATGTATGTATGTACAGGGGCTCTCTTTAGGGACTTTGTGGCTCATTTACCCTTGGTTTTGAAATGTGATTTCTCATGGAAATGATAATATTTGATTTTGGATGCTTAACATTTATCTTGTGTTTAAAAAGGAAAATGTTTTAGTTGTGATAGGGCCTTATGGATTTTCAAATGATTAGATACTTTGTTAAAAGTATTTCTACTGGGCATCTAGCTCATTCCTATCTAACATTTCAGGAATTGTTGGTGTGATTCCACCCAAGTGACAAGGTGGTGAAGATTTTTGAATGGAGCACGCGGGCTCATTGATTGTTAATTGTTGAAGCTTCGAGGCTAATGTGTATTGAGGCCTTGTGTCCATTTTGTTGTAACAAGGCAATGCCTTGCTGTTTGTATGCCATTAAGGCATTATTATTTTTATTTTCTAATTTCTTGGATTATGTAAATGTTATTGTTACAAGGACAAGAACATAAAAATTGTAATATTTGATATGTAGACAAATGGAAGGAGGACTTTTGAGATCATTGTTATTATTTGTTTGGAAATATATCAAATTAATTAGATTAGAAGTCATGTTTTAGTTTAATAGTTTTGGGGGCATTTCAGTAAAAACACTGAAGCAAGCAATTCAATATGAACTGCTCTATACAACAAGCAAACACAATCTTTCAAGTTGCAACAGAACAGCTGCAGCAATTGCAACCACAGCTCAGTCCAACAGAGCAATTGTGACAGATTGCAAATACATTCAAGTTCTTCTCTGATTTTCTTTAATTTTAACATGAGAAGCAAGTGTAAAGCAATAGCCAACAATCTTTCAATTGAATTGAATGAAATCAGAAGCTTTAATAACATATTAAGCTTTAGTTGGTTCAGTATAATTTAATACACAGTTATAATGTAATATATGCGTTAAGCTAATTCATACCATTGCTTCCTGAAGCGCTTCATTGACAGGTTTCTCCTTTTGTCTTGCATGTCCTTTGATCCAAACATCCACTCTAGATATGGAATTTGGGTCTTGACTTTGATTTTTCTGGGAGGGAGGGAACATAGTACAAAATGGTTTAAGAACAAAATCAAAATACTTTCGAAATAAATGTCGTCTATATTGCCAACCTTTCCATGTCTTCCTCTAGCTGTGCATAGGCTTTTCTATTCATCATGTGTAACGCCTTCTGCTTTGCTCTCATCTCTTTGAATTTATCACTCTTTTCCTCAGTGTAAACATTTGAAATGTCCAAATTTTTAAAGAACTTCTAATCTTTATCTTAATTGTTATGAAACTAAATGAGCTTCTATTTGTTATGGAAAAAAAAAACTTATAATGAAGCTTTTTGAAAGTTGATTTTTCCCAAATACCTTCCATTCAGCCATTCCAATCTTATCAGGTTTGCTGAGGGAAATATCACGTGCTAAATGACCTTTACCTACTGCAGCGAGAGTTCTTATTTTTCTTGATAGTTCAGACTTGTAATTGCGCTACAATTTTGCCAACTTTTGCATCACATGTGTCTTGTGGATATCATGTATTTTATATCTAAGCTGCATTTTCATATAAGCAAACATTTAGTATTAGAAAATGGGGGAAAATAATGAATTGTTGTATAAAAATTAACTAGATAAACATACTACCTTCACATAAGCCCATAACTTATCCTTAATCTCATCTAGAAATTCAGACCAATAATCGATATTAATTAGCACCATCTCCCGAGCTAAGATCCCTTCTAAGGTTAGTAAGTGCACTGATTCTTGTCCTATCGGTTGGCTCCTTTCATTGAAGTCGATCTCATCACACTTTTGTTTGCCTTTGTCATGCATCTTTAACTTTGACGGCCCCCTAGTTTTTTTCTTTGGTTCTTGACCAAAATCAACTACTCCATCTGCATTTGGTGATTCAATTTGTCAAGTATTGGAACCTATAGCTGAAATTCTAATGGGCCCATAACTTCTATTATCCATTGTGGTAGTAGCTATAGCTTCTTGCTCTTTCTTATGTCTTTTTGCTGCCTTTTAGAACTCTTTATGACACAAGAAAAAATAAAGACAAGGCAGCCAAAAATTGGTTAAAAATGTGTACCCAAAATAAATAAATTAGAAAAAAACACTTGTTTGAAAGTTACCTCCGCACACATTGTTGGTTGGCAACTTCAATTACTAAATCCTTAGAAAAAAATTCCACCTGCAAAAATGAAAGAACAAAACCAAATCAAGTAATATTTTTTTATATGAGATACAAGTATGTGAAAGTGTTTTGTAAAAGGGAAAAAAAAAAAACTACTAATTAATTTCATACATACCACAAATATCACATAGTGAAAAAGTGATTCTTAAACATCAATCACAATAGAACACAAGTACTCATAATGCTATTTTACTTCATTACTAGGTCAACAAAACATGAAGAGTAACTCATTCATCATGCAACACTTCCACACCCTCACAACCAGTCCTTACATAGCTCATCTTCATCACTATTAGCCATTTCAAGCCTAGTTATATCGACATGTTCACACAGCATATAAGCATCATCATCATACATTTCAAAATCATGAAAACCTGTTTGGGGTGCTTTAAGTACAACTTCCCAACTAGATGTATCATTATCTCTCAAATAAAACACTTGTTTTGCTTGTGAGGCTAGAATGAACGGATCTCTCTTAAATTGATGTCTACCATGTTGTAAGTTAACCAAAGTAAATCCATCTTCAACTTTGACACCATTTCTAGTAGCTGTCTAATCACATTTAAATAAAGGGACCTGAAATTTATAATAGTCCAACAAAATAATCTCTTTGATAACCCCATAAAAATAGATTTTTCTCACAACTTGTGTGGTATCTCTCTTACTAGCTCGACAAAGAGTTTCTCCTTCGATGGAAACACCACTATTTTGTGTAGCCCTCTCAACATTGGTTTTATGAAAGCGATGGCCCTCCTTGGGATCACCCAAAAACTCATCCGGATTTGACCGGAAAAACTCCCTCTTCAAAAAAGATGGCCCTGCCTCAAGGACTTGGGCCTGGACTTGATTCTCAACCTTGAGAATGTCCATAGATTCCCATAAAGCTCCAATCATTTCGCGGGCTAAGGCGTCCATGGCCTGTTGACTAACTGGTTCAGCCACATTGGCTTGGCCAACCCCTTCTTTTTGTGCCGGAATATTATCCGGTAAAGGCATCTCATGTCTCCTAGGCCTACGACACCTACCACCACCACGTCCATATCCTGACATCCTAATGAAGTTAACAAAAGAGATTAGCACATTTACAAATGTGCCGAAGCTAACTCACTCAAGTCCTAATACGATTGGACAACGGTAAATCACTCCATATAAGCATGTAGTCACGTAAACACATACGAATTTTATTTCTGGATAGTAACTGTCCCGCGGCGTTGCCAAATTTCCAATTAGAAATAGCAGTAATCAGGCGCCTTTCCAATAGGACTCCTAAAAACCCATAAACTCGATCAACATCCTAGAAATTAAATCTCATACCCATATAATCACATAAGCATATAATATATACTGACGTCTCAGCTAAGTGAGACAAACGCATTATAGTACTAACCACTTTCCATGTACCCAAAGTATTCAAACCCAGTACACCCTGATATCAAGTTGTAACACCCCCAAAAAATACAATAAATCCAATCTTTAAAGCAGAAGAATAAAAGAAATAATATGCTTTCATTCATCAGAGTTCGTTTACAAAAGTTAACATATGCGATATACATTCACAAATGTTCAGCCTGAATCTACAACATGTGCTACAATGTTAAGAGAATTAAAACTAAACATATAGTCATATGCCTTATAGGCTTACATCTTTCCAAGTCATTTCTTGGTTACACAAAAGTGAGCCTAGCTCCATACAATTTAAGCCCCTTAGTTATACAAAAGAATATGTGCTCCCAAAAGTCCCTCCAAGCTATTGCCTTGGCGGAGGCATGTCACTAACACCTGAAAATGGTTTTCCCAATTGGGTGAGCCAAAGCTCAGCAAGAATAATCTAACACAATATATGAGATTCAGCGAAGATATAAGGATGATGTGCATATACAATGCCTGTGACAAAACATTCACATCATAGATCATCTTGAAGTACCAAGTTCATATCTTATTCCATCTTCCTTTATTTCATTTCAATTCATAAGCCAATTTCATTATCTTTCAACAACCTAACTAAGACTACAACTCAGTGGTTATCTAATCAACACAATTACCACACAAGCACTTCAATCTGCCAGTTTATGGAAATTTTGTCCGCAGGATCAGCTCCCATGTATACACGAGATTTCGAGACTTTCACCCTGGACACTTCGGCCAACTTAATTTCAATAGAGTCCATCTCCTATCTTCTCCCAAACAATGGAGTACATCTCCTTTCTTCTCCCAAACAATAGAGTACAAGCCATTTCTCCTCCCAAACGTCATACATATACAATGTATTTAAAACATAGTCATATTCAATGATAACCAACATTAAATTAGTTTCAATTTACCTAATCCTCACGCAATTTCTATAACAATCATAGCTATCCTCCACCGATAGCCCAATACAGATATTTCTAAACAAATATACAATCTTCTCAATAGATAAATTATTCAAACTTTCATGGGTGAGAAACAACACGTGTCCATTTATTTCAATACTCATCCAATTTCATAGTACCAATGCCAATTTCAGTTATTTATACAAAATAACAATTTGACCCAATTAGGGCAAACTTCCCATTTTTCCAAATATTAACCCAAGTACCAAAATCAACAATTTTGACACAATATAACCTCATATTCAAATTCCATACCTATTTATTTCACATTCACCAAAAACCCTTCTTTTTATTTTTCACCCAAACCCTAGGTTTGTTCAAACCACTTCCAAATCCCACCATTGTTACACAACGACAAATAACTAAGTTAAAAACCATATGAAGGTGCAAAAATCTCCTACCTCAAAGAGAGAAGAGTAACCAAGCAAGAGTGAAACTCCAAGGACATCGAAACCCACTTCTACTCAGATCAAAACGAAACTCTTGAGACACTCTACCTTTTTCTCAAAGGCACTAGGGTGAAGACCCCAATGGATCTAGGTGAAATAGTAGAGAGAAGGTGAGTTTTAGAGAGAGAAACTCAAGATTTAGGTTTTTAGAAAGTTTTAGAGAAAGAGAGGAATAAAAAGTGATATAAAATGTCGTCTTCACGGACTGTTATACACACAGTCCACTCGAGTGTGAAAAGTAACGCTCGAGCGTCAGATACATTGTTTCGCTTAAGCATAAGAAGTGACGCTCGAGCGTAGAATACACACTTCCAGAAGTTTTGCAGATGAAAGACATCACTCGAGCGCAAGATTGGACGCTCGAGTGTCCATCTGCTCGAGAGTAGGAAACGCTGCTCGAGTGTAGAATACACTCCTCCAGTATTTGCAGATCTGCAAAAGTACTAAGAGTTTACATAGCCCACTCGAGCACAATAATGGCTGCTCAAGTGGAGAAGAAAAATTGCAAAGCTTGCTCGAGAGCAAGACTGGCTGCTCCAGCGAAAGAGCAACATCTGGGCAACAAAGGTTTGAAAAAACAAGTAACCAATCTGTTCCAAACACACAACTACAATCCAAATGACCAATCTAAGAGACAACAAGGAGAATAAGATATGGACAACAATATTGAACCAAGAAACCTGAGTCCGAAACATAATAAAATGTTGGGCCAAAACCAGAGTCGCTATGGGGAGTCCTTCTAGTATTGTTTCACTTTCAAACTCTATATTGTGATTATGTCGAACACCTATTTCAGCTACTTTCTTCATATGCCCACTACAAAATTGCATACACTTTTCAGCTAAATAGCATTCTGCTATGCATCCCTCAGGTCTTACACAATTTTTAACATAACCTTTGAGTATCTTCATGTATCTAAACAACAATAAAATTTAGCTTAACAAATTTTTTAGAAGTTTATTTATGTTAGAGAAAAAAACAATACATATATTTAAAATATGATATTGACTTACCTTCAAATGGATACATCCAACGAAACTGCACTGGCCCACATATGCGAGCTTCTTGCCCTATATGAGTTGTTAAGTGTACCATAACATCAAAAAACGATAGAGGGAAGTATCTTTCTAACATACACAATGTCTCGGCAACATCATTTTCAAGTTGTTCTATCTTATTCCCATCAATCACCCTTTGACATAACTGATTAAAAAAGAGCACATTCGGAATATTGCATTCCTTGGTCCTTTTGGCAAAAGTTCTCTCAATGCAATTGATAACAATTGTTGAAACATGACATGACAATCATGTGACTTGAGTCCAACTATCTTGCATTCTTATAATGAAACACAATTAGCAATATTTGATCTATAACCATCAGGCAACTTCAAATCTTGTAGCCTAGAACAAAAAATCTTATTTTCATCTTTTGAAAGTGTATTTGATGTTGGTGGCAAGTAAAAATGGGATCCTTCATCCTCTGCATGCAATTCACTGCTAATTCCCATTTCTGCCAAATCTTTACAAGCCTTAAGACCATCCTTCAATTTCTCCTTGACATTTAAAAGTGTGCATAAAATGCTTTCACAAACATTTTTCTCGATGTGCATCACATGCAAGTTATGACGTAAAAGCAATGCCTGTAACATCAATAAAAGATTTATTATTTAAAAAATTAGAAGAAAAATTTTAACCAAGAACTAATGTTCCACAAAAGAATATGAAATCCTACTTTCCAAGGACTTACATCCCAATATGGTAGATTGAAAAATATAGATTTCTTCTTCCATGGTTGGACGCAATCACTCTTTTTGGTTGGGGTGCTTTTTGGTCTAGATCCTTTTTTCTTTTCCTTTCCTTTGTAGTTTTTCCCCAATTAGTTTCAATGTCCCTTACTACATGTAACACATCAAATCCACTCAATAGTTCAGGCTTCCCCCCAAGTTCTTGTTTTCCATTAAACCAACTTCTTTTCATTCGAAATGGATGATCCAGAGATAGAAATCGCCTGTGGCCCATGTACACTGTCTTCTTACTGTGATTCAACCACTACGAGCATGTGTTAATGCTACATACAAGACATGCAACTTTCCCTTTTGTGGCACATCCAACTAAGTTCCCATAAGCTAGAAAATCATTCATTATCCACATCAACATAACCTTCAAATTAAACATAGACTTACTGGTTGCGTCATAGACCTCCACACCATTATTCCATAATTCTTGTAGGTCTTCTATAAGTGGCTGCAAATACATATCTATGTCATTCACTGGTTGCTTTGGTCCCAGTATAAGTAATGTGAACATTATATTTTCCTTTGCCATGCATAACCATGGAGGAAGATTATAAGTCACTAACATCATTGGCCAACAATTTTAAATTGAGCTAAGATTTGCAAAGGGATTGAATCCATCTGTTGCAAGAACAAGTTGAAGGTTTCGTGGATCCGATGCAAAAGAGGGCCACTTGTGATCAATTGCATCCCATGCCAACAAATCAATTGGATGTCGCATCTTTCCATCTTGACTTTTGTGAGTGGAATGCCAAGTTAATTACTCTGCTTTTTCTTATGACATGAACATTCTTCTAAATATTGGAGTTATGGGAAAATAATGCAACACCTTCGCTAGAACCCCCTTTTTAATCTTCTTAGTTTGCACAAGTATGTTACCTGCTGGTAGCATGTCAGACATTAATCTCAAATTTTCGTCAAAACTCTTATCAGATGTCCCATGCACAGCTTTATGCTTGTATAAAACGACAATTGCTGAGAATTTAGTGTACTTTGTATAACCTAAATATAAAGGAGTTTCAGCATCTTCTAATGCTTGTGTGAACTCCCTCTCTCTACTTTCATTTGTAGGTTGCGAATAATCATCGTTTTCATAAACATCTCTAAACAGCCTATATGTCTCTGGAATTTCAACATTGTCTTCAACTTCTACAATTTCACTTCATCGTTCACCATGAAGAACCCATGACGTATATTTAGGATCCAACCTTACAATGACCAAATGCTCAAAAACAGTATCACAATGTTTTTGTGACAGGTTTCAACAACTTTCACACAGGCATATGATCATATAAGGATTCCTTGAATTTGCCTTAGCCATGTTGACAAATTTTCTCGCTCTATCCACATACTCATTCGATACTCTAAAAACTTTAAATTATTATTGATTCCATCCAAACAAAATGAGTAACTTAACATTTGAAAGCATATTTATGGTTGTGCATATAATAAACCTTCAAAAATGTATCCATGTTTTGTCCATCTTGAACTTTTCACTTGCTAACAAATTGCATCCACAAAAACCACTAAAATTAATTACACGCATCAATGCTCAAAATGATTAGCATAAACACTAAGATGGTATTTTAGAGTTTCAAATAATCTACAATCTAGAATTGTAATCAAACACCATTAATTGACCTTTTTTTATTTTTAATCAAATAATCAAATTAACCCAAAGATTTATTTTTTTAAAAAAAACTAAACCCCATAAGAAATGAATTGAACAAATACAAATTTCATATAAAGACAGACATGCATTAAAATATTTGTGTATGCATAGAGTTTTCATATTGGATATGGAAGGATTGCATTAAGAATCATCTTATAGTACAAAAGAGATCCTTTTGTAACCAATTCATTCACCATGTATTGAATTTCTGCTCTATTCTCATTGAATATGCAAGTCAAGTGTAACTGAAAGATTAAACCAAGAATATGTCTTCCATGATATTGTAGAAAACTCAAGGTGGCATAGTTTTATGTTTTTATACAAATTATGCATACGTTTCCTTTGTTTAATATATCCCAATGGATTCAAATGCACTTGGCACATGGCCCTCCCAATTAAAGAAAACAAATCACATATCATCCAACGAATAACTCAAACATAGGATGTAGGAAAAAGATTGCAATAAACGTTTGAATCATAAGATTCATATTATTGATGGCTGAGAAAACAACTTCCAATCAACAGTGCTTATATGACCTATTACATCATTGTTGAAACAACTCTCCATTTTTTAAAACATAAATAAATATACATACACACATATATATATATATATATATATATATTACATAAAATTAAAATTTTATCTCCTTTTCTTCCCCTAGTGCCTTTAGAAAAATATATATATATATAGATTATAGACTCAAAAAAAAAAAAATTCTAAAAAAATTAACACAATAACAAATAATACATGAAAAGGAGCAGTTCAACACTAACCTTTGAATCAGTTGGATCCTTACAAATTGCTTTATGCAAATAAATAATTAGGTAACAGATTGATAATGAACATTTGAATCCAGCTTGCAATTCTAACATAAAATGAAAAAATAAGTAGCTAAGTATCAATTACTAACAGAGATAATGATCAAGAAATTGTATCATCGAGAAACAAGTTTATACATTATTACTGAGCATTCACTTCTATATTGGAATGAATCAAAATGCATGTTATAGTTAGCAGCAACATTCGCACTAATCTTATGCTTATGGCCTTCCTTTTAATGAAAAAATGTTATGATAGAAAAAGGCATATAATTTTTTTTTTTTTTTGGGTAATTAAGTCATAAAAAAAGACAAAAAGATACAGGAATACAAGGGGCATTCCCCACGCTACTAAACAAAAAATACAACCAACTGCCAAAAGAAAAAAAAACCTAAGCGACTACAATAAAAATATGCCCAACAACCTAAGCAACTATACTAGAAATAAAGCCTAAAAAGGTCTAAACAACCAGCAACCAAAAAGACACCCAGAAAACAATGAAAATAGGCTATTAAAAAAGCCCAATCTGTTCAATGACCACATATGAAAAATGGGGGAATTGAACATAAACAAAATCGAGCCATATAACCACACAAATGACAATAACCAAATAAACCACACAAGACCACACAAGACCTATACAAAACCAACAATCTATATAGACAACAGACAGCAACAACAGATCAGCCCATGCATGTAGACAGCAGACAGACAGCAATAAACTGAAACAGCTCCAGCCTATAGCATTAACAGGTAGCAAGTAGACAGCCAGCACAGGCAATAGCAACAACAGGCAGACAACTAGCTCCAGTAATCTCACAAATTGAAAATAATCACAGGAATGTAGATGGGAAAGAATATAAAAAACTAGGAACCATTCAACTTAATCAAGCTAGCAATCCATTAAACAGAGGTGGACACTAAGCTCTAGGACACAAGAGCCTGAACAACAAGGATCAACGCCAACTAATGGATATACTGCACAGCTCATAGAAGTTAAGCAGCCAACCAATTCTCATAAAGACCTCTCATTCAACTCACACAGATACTCAACTGATAAAAGAAAATATTAGAGATACCAGCTCAGAGACATTATAGAAATCTCACCACTACTCAACCCTCATAAAAAAAGCCCACATCCTATTTTGAGAAACTCACTTACTCAACCCTCCTCCCTAACCTTTATACCAGCTAGAACTTGCAATAAGCAAACAATTGGAAACATATAATAACAACTCAAGACAATATAGGATTCTCACCACCATTCAACCCTCATCAGAAACTCATATCCTATTTTAAGAACTCACACTCAACCCTCCTCCCTAACTCACTGTGCCAACTAGAACCTACAATGATCAAACTGTTAGAGATTTATATCTAGTTCACTCAACCCTCAGTAGCTTACATCACTCACACAAACCTACTATAAGAGCTCACATCACTCAATTCTCCTCCCTACACAGAGATTAGCTGAGCTGAAGCACAACCTGCATTAAAAGTGATTTAAAAAGGACTTTCAATATGTGACGCACATCACTCAACCCTCATCAAATATACAGGCCATACAGGAACCTGCACTCCACATAGTTAGTAACAACTTTGCTTACAGAAACAGGCAAAGACCATTCTTTCAGGAACTAGTCATTAGATAAGTTAGATTTGAAATTCTTGATAGATAGCACCCTGTATCTGACCATGTCCCTGATCCTGCTAACAATGGCCACCTCATTAAAATTTGTAAACTTTACCACTCATCTGAATTTTTTTTTTCAGACTTCCCCTGAAGTGTAATTTCCCTAATAATTTGTTCATGAAACAAGAGAAATATCAAAAAATTTCAACAACAAATTTCAAACAAATAATAAATAAAGTAGTGATTCAAAGTCAAAAACTAACATTCCGTAAACAAACATGTGCAATATAATAGCCAAACCAAGAAGATAAACCCCCAAAACAATATAAATAAATAAACTTACCAAACTTGACTTCACTCTCTCCACAAACTCACTGTTCTTGAAACTCTCAAAAATCTTTGAAGATGAACTTTTCTGCTCGAACTAGATATATATATATATATATGCATTTGAGAGAATCAATGAATCAAATTTCATGAATTAGAATTTTCAGAAAATTAAATTAGGGAAAAATGAATTCCCAAAACAAAATCTGTTATCAACAACTCCATTACTTGACCAAATTTGGTTATACATACATACAAACATATGTGTATGTATATATATTGTATACGTAGCAAGAGGGGACAACGATATATATTATATAATGTTTGATAAGTCAGTGTTAGGGTTTTTAGGGGAATTTGCTGAGAGGGGAAAAGGGGTAGTGGTGATGTCGCTGGTTTAGGGACAGGGCTTCAATGGTAGGTTTAGGGAAAGGGTTTAGTAGACAAGGGGATGGGAGGGAGAGGGAGTGAGAGAGGGAGGGGGAGAGAGAGAGAGAGGGATGAAAGGAGAGAGGAGAAGAGCTCCATAGCTAAAATTGTTTAAAGAGAGAAGAGAACAAGGTTGTTGATGAAGTCACGAAATGGACAGACAGAAATCGTCTTTGCCTCTTCTTTTGCCGAGAAGGGTCGACTTCTGGTGTCAGAGAAAGAGGAAGAACATAGAGCAACAGAGGAAAGCGTGATTACTTTGTTGAGGAAGGAAGCGGACAAGTCAATGGGCTGCCGTGTTTGCCTCTCGATCTCCACTGATTTAATTGATTGTAGAACTTTGAAGAACAAGGGTTCGAAGAAACTATCTGTGTCTTTGAAGAACTATGGTTTGAAGAAAATGGACTGTCATCTACTCCCTCTCTTTCTTAGAAATTATCAGTGTCTTTGATAAGAAGAAAATAAATTAAACATTTTTTTTTTTTTTTTTTTGTAAGTGGCGCCACAAATTATTGGGTTTTGGCGCCTGAATTTTTTGGTCATGCCATTGACGACATACATGGTGGGCCGTGAAAAGTGACATATTTTAATGACTGGCATACATGTATCGTATATAACTGATGTATTAATGGCATGTTATATGTATGTCATAGAAAGTTTTATTATTTACAGTTAAAATTGCAAGTCGTAAAAAAATTATCATTTTTATCATTAATGGCCTACGCAATAGACACGCCGTGGTTAAGATATTATTTATAATATGTAAAAAAAACAAATCATAAAAGTGAGAAATTACGGCTTGCATTCATTGTATGTCGTTGATATAGTGCCGTAAAAAATCAATTTTGTTGTAGCTTTTGTGTTCATCTCTCCAAGGTCACCATTATTGTACCTTGGAATTTGGAATGTGTATTTCATATGGAAAACTCTAGTGCCTCTTTACTAACGTGGAGTTTGGAAGAAGAAGGGTTCGTAATTCAAGATTTCAGATCTTACTAGGTGGGTGTTTTTCCCGCCTAAGGTAATCCATATTTTCTTACAGTGATATCAGAGCCAGGTTGTTTGTTTTTTCCTCTCGATTAGTATGGCATTAATATGTTTATTGCTTATATAATTAGATTAATTTATTTTGTGATTAATTAATATGTTGGTTATGTACCCCTATATTGAGTCCCAAGTTTTATTGTCCAACACTCTTTTCCTAGATGGAATTGTGGTTGAACTCCATCCTTTGACCCATTTAAATTGCTTTTATTTGTTAATTGCTCAATTTAGTTTTTTTTTTTTTAAAAAAAGAAAAATTGTGGATGGAGGTGATATTGGTATTCATTGGTACATATGTTTTTATTTTATTGTGTATGGGTGAATGTATATCCCATAAATGTATTGGTGAAATGGCATCACCATTTATTTCCTTTTGTATTTAGAATCAATGTAGTAGGATTCTTTTGGGTTGTAAATTATTTTTTGGACGTATTTTTCTATAGCCATGTAAGGGGATGTGTTTCACTATCACCAATATATTTCAAGGCTGCCTTAACATGTTGAACCAAAATACCAATTGGGCTTCAACTGGAGCCCACGTGCAAATTGTATTGCATAATTATGGACTCATTTATATCATGTATAATTTAAAATTGTGGATAATGGGAATTGTTCCCTATATTTTATTTTAAATTAAATAGACATTTTATTCTTACTTACATTGTGAGAGATGATTACTAGCACCTAAAAATGCAAAAAAAATTATATCATAATGGGAAAGAATTTTCTGATCTAATAATATTTAGAATAAAATATTGAAATATGCATCTAATTAAATCCTTGTGCAATGAATCAGTGAAATGACCTCAAAAGATATTATTGTTGAACTTAATAAGGGAGATAAATTGGGTTGAAACAACTATGATATCTGGCACAGGAAGGTTCAGTACCTTCTCAATGAGCGAAAGTTGATCAACCATTTGACCAACATCATGGCCATACCTAAGGCAGGGAACACGACATAGCATTGGGATTGTTAGTGAGGGGATTGATAGTGAGGGGATTAATAGTGAGGAATTGTTAAATTATTTTTATATAAAATAATAAAACAAATAAAAAAATATAAAAAATTAAACATTATATTTAAAAAAAAATTCCCAATATATAAAAAATAAAAAAATTTCTAATTCCCTCACTATTTTCTAATATCATCTCTACCTCCTCCTTACCAATCCCCCTTCCAAGGGTATTAGCAATACCAAGGGACTAATAGTCCCAAGGCTTTCTCTGCAAACAAACAGGGGCACCTTGGTATTACTAGTCCCAATACCCTTCCTATAGCCCAAAACAAACGGGGCCAGCGTCTTTGATAATAAGAAAA